TTTTTTTTGTTATTTCAATAAAATCAGAATATTTTTCAGCGAGCAGCTTACTAAATTTACAAAAAAATACCAAAACAAAGATGAAAATTGCAAAATCATAACTGGAAACGCGTTATTTGTGCTTTTTAAATGAATTTGACGAGTTTCTTGCTAAGAAAAAAATTGTTTAAAATAAAGCAAAATTCCTTGATACCCCTTTTTTGTCTTTAATTTTAGGCAAGAAAAATTATCAAAAAATAGGAATTTTATAATTATAATTTTTGTTCGAATATTTTTTAATAAACACCTACAATCAAAACAAAGCAAACATTTACAAAATAAATCTATCATTTATTTCGTTAACATTTTACACCGGTTTAATTCATTTATCCTTAATTAGTTTGTTTGCTTTGTATATTTATTTTGGAAATTACTGGGTGTCAAATCAATATTTACAGTTGTTTATACCATGATATTTTTGTCGACTAAAATAAAAATTATCTTTGTGTATATTTTAACAGAGAGAGCACAAACTGGATCCGCCACTGCTTAAAACAGAGCAAAAAATCCCCCGAAGAAAAAGAAATCAGGTAAGACTTCCACGCCAAATTCTCGTAGTTAGTTTGATGTCACTAATCTTTCTGTTGTCCAAAGCGTTTGTGATATGAATGATCGTCGCAATTCCGCCATTGTTACTGCTTTAACGATGGTGGAAACGAAGCCACTTACAAGGTTTGTTGTTGCTACAATTTGCTTATTTATGTTAATAACTCTTTTCCAATTTTCGGTCGATTATTTCGTTCTCTTTTTCTTACAGAGAAGCAGTCAATACATTGCCAAAGTTATCCAACGACGAAACAGATACGACGATAATAGACGACAAAAGCTCAGAGTAAGTAAGCGATTGTTTTAGTTTGAAACTGATATAAAGTATAAATGTAGGACAAAAGTGTGACAAAAAAGTGGAAGATGTTTGGAGCAAAATAGTGAAAACAGTTCTTGGTCAAGCCGTTTTTGAAGCTAAATGAAGAGAAAACAGTGTCCAGAAGTGGAGACTACAATTCTTTAATATTGTTTGTTACTTAACAAAATATTGTTGTTTTTCGAAAAAATACGAGGACTCTACTTCACATTAAAATATTCTTGACTATATTGTTGTACGCCAAACTGTAAATAAGTATTTAAACTCTGTAATTGATATGTCTGTAAAAAGATGTTAATATATGTTATATTTTTCAATTTGATTATATTTTTAATTAAATTTATTATTCATTTATTATTATACAGGCTGTTCCGGCTAAACCCCACATTAGAAGTTCTAACAGTGATATTTATTTAAAATTTTTATTATGGCCATAATAGTTTAGATCCTGTTCAATGAAAATATTTTCAAGATTCTCGGCCTGTTTTTGTCCTCAAAAACCAGTTAAATTCAAATGTAACAAACAAAATAACATCATTATCTAATCTTTTTGTGATTTTTAAGCGTGTTTAGACAAAATTTTGAAAAATAAATACACTTTTGGTTCAAAAACGAAGTAATTCGAAAACAGGCTAAAAATAATATTAATTTCTATTTAATTAATAAAATTTTTGAACCTGTTTAAACGAAATTTTTGTTTTTTTTGTTTTTATCTCAAAAACGTTCTTAAATACTTGAAAAAGGCAAAAATAACGCCATTTTTAATCAATTTTGTCAAATTTCCGGCAAGTTTGTGTTTCTCGCTGAAAAAATATTCGAAAAAGGCAAAAATAAATTGACCTTTTTGACCCTGTTTAATAAAATTGTCTAAAAAATAAAACTATGTACTTTTAACCAATTTGGTGCTATTTCATTTTTTTTTTTTGAGAAAATTTGGCGAAATAATCAAGTTTCTATATAGTTGAAAAATGTAAAAAATGCTCGAAAACGTTGTAAAATGATTGAAATCTCGGTAGGTCATGAAAATTTAAATTTAAGATGGCAACATTGATATTTTCACAGTTCTAGATTGTTTATTTTTGTGCAATTGCAGCCACTGGTTGAAGATACGTCTATTGTCGTTTTTAAGAGATTTTTGGGCATTTTTTCTCCATATTTTGAAATCGTATTTGGGCATATAAAAAGGAAAGGTTAGATCTTTACTTTCGCGTATTTATAATTCGAAAAATAGTTAACAAGCCTCCAAAATTTAAGGTTACGTTTGGGAAACTTGTTTAATGTTATTTGTGGCTTTTATTAGCAAAATGTTTTGTACCTTTAATAAATAATAATTTAATAAATCACTATCATTAAAAAGAAATAAAAAATGTCAAATGTCAAAAAATAAATGTCAAAATTTTTTGACGTATAGAACTTTTTATACGTTCCTGGTATCTTATATTATGTACTTGAAATTTTTCTCTGGGGCGCGAGTTATGGCGCACCCTGTATACTGTGGATGTATCATAAAAACCATAAAACCTTTAAACAAGCAAACAGTTTTGTAGACTCCATTTAACTGTGCGATTATTTCCACATATCAAATATGATTTAAAAATAAGGTTGACACGAATTTCATCACAAAAGTTATATTACGTAGGCTCGAATAAAATCGATAAAGCTGTTTCTCAAACTTTTTTTAATGGTAAAAATGTATAAGAATAAGTTTAAAAATTACGATTATTATCGTATTGTGATAAAGTCTACGAAACCACTAAATAAGTAAACTTCAAAAAATGTCACTTTTACTGTAAACGCCCAATTAATAATAAAATATAAACCAGGGATTAGCTTAGATTAGCTTTCCACCGAAAAGCATTAAATGTTATTATTACTTTAAGACTATGGTGTAAAGTTTTCATCATGTAAAAAAATTGGTAGTATACAATGTGTCCCGGATAAGTGAAACAACTCTTGCAAAACATAAAAAAAATCGATTGCAATTTTAATTTTTTGATTCAGCCCTGCTTGGTTAAAGACTAATTTCTAACATAATTTTAATTTTGAAAAATCAAATATGTCTTGGAAATTTTCAAAACACTTATTTTTTGTGGAGTAAAAGTGCTTTTATGTGGCAAATACGACAAAAAGGTGTTTAAAATCAACATCGAGGCCAGTATAAAATAGCAAAATTATCGGTCAACTTTGATTTTTATTTTTTAGAAGGAATTTTATTATTTTAGTTCTTTTATTATTAACAAAAAAAA